AGAATTAACAAGTGTTGGCAAAGAATGAAGAGAAATTGGAGCACTTGTGCATTGCTGGTGGGAATGTAAAATGGTGCAGACGCTGGGGGAAACAGTACGAAAGTCCCTCAAAAAATTGAAAATAGAATTACTGTATGATCCAGCAGTTCCACTTCTGGGTGTTTACCCAGAAGAACTGAAAGTAGGATCTCAAAAAGATATTTACACACCCATGTTCAGAGCAGCATTATTCACAACAGCCTAAAGGTGTAAACAACCCAGATGTCCATCAGTGGATGAATGAATAAACAAAATGTGGTTTTTACATACAATAGAATATTATTCAGCCTTAAAAAGGAAGGAAATACTGGTACACGCTACAACATAGATGAACCTTGAAGACACTTGCTAAGTGAAATAAGCCAAACACAGAAGGACAAATGTTATATGATTCCGCTTATATGAAGTACCTAGAGTACAGACATACTTCATTTTTATTGCACTTCACTTAACTGCATTTTTTTTAAAGTTGAAGGTTTGTGGCCACCCTGCATTGAGCAAGTCTATTGACACCTTTTTTCCAATAGCATTTGCTCACTTCGTGTCTCTGTGTCACATTTTGGTAATTCTCACAATATTTTAAACTTTCCCACTATTACTATATTTGTTATGATGATCTGTGATTTTTCTTCCCTCTCTGTTTTTTTCCCTCCGTTTTTCCTTTTTTTTTTTCCCCTCATGTCCTAGTACTTAAGGATAGAACCAGCAGACTGGAAGCTGCTGGTGCCAAAGACATGATGCCAAGGGGACAAGAGCCCTTTCTCTTTACCTTTGTACATTACAGGGACCAGGACCACATGCCCAATCCCCACCAAGAAAAGGAGGGTTGATCTGTGATCTTTGATGTTACTATTGTCACTGTTTGGGGGTGCCACAAACCTCACCCAGATGACAGCGAACTCAATAAATGTTATGACAATGGGAACAGCTCAACTGACCGTCTGTTGGCCCATCTCTCTCCCTCTCCTCAGGCCTCCATATTCCCTGAGACACACAGTATTGAAATTAAGCCAATTAATAACCCTCCAATGGCCTCTAAGTGTTCAAGTGAAAGGAGGAGTCCCATGTCTCTCACTTTAAATCAACCACTAGAAATAATTAAGCTCAGTGAGGAGGGCATATAGAAAACTGAGACAGGCTGAAAGCTGGGCCTCTTGCACCACACAGTCAGCCAAGTTGTGAATGCAAGGGAAAAACTCTTGAAGGAAATTAAAAGTGCTACTCCTGTAAACACTTGAATGATAAGAAAGGGAAACAGCCTTACTGCTGACATGGAGAAAGTTTGAGTTGTCTGGATAGAAAATTAAACCAGTCACAACATTCCCTTAAGCCAAAACCTAATCCAGAGTAAGGCCCTACTCTCTTCAATTTTATGAAGGCTGAGAGGTGAGGAAGCTGCAGAAGAAAAGTGTGAAGCTAGCAGAGGTTGGTTCCAGAGGTTTAAGGAAAGAAGCCATCTCCATAACATCAAAGTACAGCTGCAGCAAGTTGTCCAGAAGATCGAGCAAAAGTAATTAATGAAAGTGGCTACACTAAACAACAGGGTTTTAATGTAGATGGAACAGCCTTCTATTGGAAGAAGATGCCATCTAGGACTTTCATAGCTGGAGAGGAGAAGTCAGTGCTTGGCGTCAAGCTTCAAAGAACAGGCTGACTCTCTTGCTAGGGCTAGTGCAGCTAGTGACTTTAAGTTGAAGCCAATGCTCATTTACCATTCTAGAAGTTGTGGGGCACTTAAGAATCATGCTAAGTCTACTCTGCCAGTGTTATAAATGGAACAGAAAGCTTGGATGACAGCACATGTGTTTCCAACATGGTTTATTGAATATTTTAAGCCCACTGTTGCTCAGGGAAAAAAAAAGAAAGAAAGAAAGAAAAGATTCTTTTCAAAATATTACTGCTTATTGACAATGCATCTGGTCACCCAAGAGCTCTGATGGAGATGTACACTGATCATGCCTGCTAACAAAACATCCATTCTGTAACCCATAGACTTTCAAGTTTTATTGTTTAAGAAATATATTTCATAAGGCTGTGACTGCCATAGACAGTGATTTCTCTGATGGATCGGGATAAAGTAAGTAGAAAACCTGGGAAGGGTTCACCATTCTAGATGCCGTTAAGAATATTCATGACTCTTGGGAAGAGGACAAAATGTCAACATTAACAGGATTTTGAAAGAAGTTGATTCCAACCTCTATGGATGATTTGGAGGAATTCCAGACTTCTGTGGAGAAAGTCACTGCAGATGTGGTAGAAATAGCAAGAGAACTGGAATTAGAAGTGGAGCCTGAAGATGTGACTGAATTGCTGCAATCTCATGATAAAACTTTAATGGATGAGGAGCTGCTTTTTATGGATGAGCAAAGAAAGTGGCTTCTTGAGATGGAAGCTACTCGTGGTGAAGATGCTGTGAAGATGGTTGAAATGACAACGAAAGATTTAGAATATCACATAAACTTAGTTGATAAAGCAGCGTCAGGGTTTGAGAGGATTGACTCCAATTTTGAAACAAGTTCTACTGTGGGTAAATGCTGCCAAACAGCATTGCCTGCTACAGAGAAATTATTTGTGAAAGGAAGGGTCAATCAATGTGGCAAACTTCATTGCTATCTTATTTTAAGACATTGCCACAGCCACCCTACCCTTGAGCAGCCACCACCCTGATCAGTCAGCAGCCATCAACGTGGAGGCAACACCCTCCACCAGCAGAAAGATTACCACTCTCTGACAACTTGGATGATGGTTAGCATCCTACAGCAATAAAGTGTTTTTTAATGAAGGTAGATACATTGATTTTTTTAGACATAAAACTATTGCACACTTAATAGACTACAATATAGTATAAACATAACTTTTATATGCACTGGAAAACCAAAAAATTCATGTGACTCACTTTATTGCAATGTTCGCTTTATTGTGGTGGTCTAGAACCAAACATGGAATATCTCCAAGTGTGCCTGTAGTCATATTCATAGAGGCAGAAAATAGAATGGTGGTTGCCAGGGGCTGAGGGGAAGGAGGAATAGGAAGTTGCTGTATAATGGGTATAAAGTTTCCGTTTGGGGAAAAAAAAAAGTTTTGGAGATGGATGCCTCACAGCAATGTGAATGTACTCAATGCTGCTGACCTGTACACTGAAAAAAGGTTAAGATGGTCAATTTTTTGTCATATATGTTTTACCACAATAAGAAAAAACAGAAAAATCAATACACACATCCACTGTAGAAAATATGACAAGCGAAAGGAAAATATTTTTAGAAATTGCCTAAGGCGGAAAAAAAGAAACAGATTGAGTCTATATCTAAGATGATATATGTAAATTAAAAAAACAAACACATCCCTACCCCAACACTGGATGTCTTAGTTTGCTGGGCTGCCATAACAAAATACCAAAGAGTGGGTAGCTTCAATAACAGACATTTATTTCCTCACAGTTCTGGAAGCTCGAAGTAAGTCTGAGATCAAGATGTCAGCAGAGCTGGTTTCTTCTGAGTCTTCTTTCTTTAGCTTCTAGATAGCCGTCATCTCCCTGCATCTTCACATGGTCTTTTCTCTGTGCACGTATTTATCTGTGTCTAAATTTTCTCTTCTTAGAAGGACATCAGGCCAACCCTAAAGACCTCATTTTAAACTTAAGTACCTCTTTAAAGACCGTATCTCCAAATACAGTTACATTCTGAGGTTCTAGGGGTTAGAACTTCAACATAGGAACTTTGGTGGGAACACAATTCAGACCATAACACTGTCATTTAATGAGACATACATAACCAAGGACACATAGTTAAATACATTATATCATTTGATGAGATGTATGTAACCAAGGGCACATAGTTAAATACATTAGTGGGCACCAGGGGACAAGAGTGGGGAAGAGAAGAGTTGGAATGGGAGTGGAAATGGTGCAAAAAGGGGAAATGTCATTAAAAATTGTGTGCACGCAAGCATATGTGTGTATATTAGAAATACAATAGAAATGGGAGACTTTAATTTACCTCTCTCAGCCCAGAACAGATGAAACAGACAAAAATTATTCATTAGTATCTTAGTACGCTATCTTGCTATGAGTGCTTTGCCATCTTTTTCTTCATTGTTATTTACCAGTTTTTAATTTTTTTCTCTCCAAAAATCATTCTTTGGGTGTATTTATTAGTTCTGGCATCTTCCTCTTTCCTAATTCATTATTTTATCTTTTTAGCTTTACACATTCCTTCCTTTTGTTTTTTTACATTTGTTTTGTTGTTCTTAAAAAAAAGTCCTGAATTGAATGTTAAGTCCATTTTTTTTATTTTTTTAAATCATAGTTTTATTGTTAAGTCCATTTATTTTTGATCTATCGGGCTTAGCAATCTCAGTTTGTAAGGTTGTATGTTTTCCAGGCTCTAACGCCTTCAGGCCTTGCCATCTTCCTGATGCCCTGGCGATAGAGGGCAAGAGTCCCCCCACCAAGAGCCCCAGATTTCTGCCCTCTTCATAGTTTTGAGAACTACTCCTTTCTTGGTCCTCTCAAAGGGACTTGCCTCTTTTTCCTCCACATACCATATGCCTCAATACTCTTAGGCTTCCCCAGAATAAAATCTCAAGTCATTCATGTGTGACTCCACATTCCCATGGGGAGGATGTAGGTGAGCATATGAAACACCAGTATATGATAAAGGTGCCATTGCTGCCTGGCAGGGAAGAGGTGGACAGATCAATAAATGGTGGCAGGACAGCTGAATCCCAATAAGGATAAAAAATTTAAAGTACTGTGAAAATACCGGAAAAGAAAAGAAAAAAAAAAACAGAAGAAGGCCTAATAATTTCAGTGTGGGATAGCTTTCCTAAACAAAACCTAAAGTCTCAGCCATAAAAGAAAAGATTAATAAATTTGCCTCTTTGAATTCTGCACTGGCATGCCAATGGCATGAAAAAAGGAGGTAAGAGAATAATTGTTCTAGCTTTATAAATGGCCTGTGAACATGTTAATAGATGCTCATCCTCATTCATAATTAAAGATATGCAAATAAAACCATTGAGTGTGGTTAAGCATCTTTTAACATGTTTTAAAAGCCACTTATATTTTCTGTGAAAGCCAATTTTTGCTTTCATCTGTATTTCCCCCCAGTTTGGTAAAGATCAGAACATTTGATAATACAGATTTGGCTACAACATGAATCAACAGGCACATACATTTATGGGGAAAATATGTGTGTGAATTGATGCTACTTTTTTGAAAGGACACCTGACAATGTAGTTTTAATAAACTACAAAGACATAGATCTTAAAAGTTCTCATCACAAGGAAAAAAATCTGTAACTATATATGGTGAAGGATGCTAATTAGATGTCTTGTGATGATCATTTTGAAATATATACAAATGTTGAATCATTATGTTGAACAGCTGAAACTAATATAATGTCAATTATATCTCCATAAAATAAAATAAGCCATAAACACATCACTCTTATTTCCCAGTGATTCAGTTTCTAGGAACAAACAATTTCTTTGAATATATTCCTTTGTGTGTGAAATAACACATATTTGGGCATTGTTTGAAATAGAATACTAGAAACAACCTAACAGTCCGTCAGTGGGGGACTGGCTGAATAAATTATGAAACATCAATTCAAAGCAACACTATGCAGCCATAAAAAAGAATGAAGCATATATATAGGTGTGTGTGTATGCAATATTTAACTCTCTCACTTGCGGTTAAGTAAGAACAGCAAAGTAAAGTAGTGTGCTTAACAATCACTCATTCAGTAAATATTAAATGAAGACTTGCTGTGTGCTGAGAACTGTCCTAGGTACTGGAGAAATAGAGGTAAACAGAACAGCTTAGA